TATATATATACATTTTTTTTAATAAATATTATTTTTTCCATTTTTTTTCCTGCTATAATGCAATATTTACTTAAATATAAGGGTTAGTTTTAGTTAGTTTTAAGCTACAATTTATATTTACAGTTTTTGATATGTTCGTAAATAGTTTTTAATATATTGACATCTCTAGAGAAAATCAAATTGTTCAGGTAGACGGGAAGTGGAATTTTTAATAAAATAAGATTATCATAAAATTTGTTTATGTTTACTGATTCGTAGGGACATTCAAGGAAAATATGTAATAGATTGCCTTCTTTTCCGCACTTGCAATTAGATGACTCCGCGAGACCCAACTTGTACATATGAAGGGGGGTAAGAGCATGATTAGATCTGTTTATAACCGTTATGAAATGGCGATTTGATAGAGTATGAAACCATCTTTTTATGGGTATTTCAGGCTGCATTTGTTAGTAATTATTTCCAGTTCTCGTGTTTCGATAATATGTTTGCCATTTTTCTTTTTGATGCCGTTTACTAATTGTATCAATGTCTGAAAAGGGGATAAGTTCAAGGGAGTTTCTTTGCCTATGTCTAGGGCAGATTTGGCTAGGCTATCTGCTATTTCATTTCATTTACATTCATTTCATTTCATAGTTCTATATGATTTAGTTGTTTGGACCTATGTACGTTTGTTAGTCTGTCGACTACACTCTTACTGTCTGTAAATATTATGCAGCTGTAGGGTTCGTTACTATGTATATGCCTTAATGCAAGAAGAATCGCTGTCATTTCATCAGTGTATATCGATGATTTAGCTGGCAATTTCAATAATTTTTTAAATCCACTTTGAATATTAATTAATGCACATCCTACTTTGTTTTGTACTTTAGATCCGTCTGTAAAGTAAAACTGATAATTTGGCCATTTATGCCGTGTAAATGATTGAAAAGCGACTGGATCTAAATTACTCTCCATAAAAAAGATAGTTATATGTTTTGAGACAAGCTCTTCTAATATATGGGAATAAATAGGTGAAATTTGATTTTCATACGAATAGAAAGTATGTCGGTATTGAGATTTCCTCAAGTAACTATTTACCAGAAGAGAACATTTTTTCTTTGTCCAATATTTATGAGAACTTGCACTTGACTCATTATAAAGATAGCGTCGGTGCATGATCTTTCCGACCTAAAACCTTGTTTCTCTTCTGCTAGTATTATAATTTTATTCAATTTATATGTTATCACTTTGGTTGTTAATTTTAGTATTGTGTTTAATAAATTAATTACTCCTACTGTAATTTTCCGGGTCCGATTTGCCTCCCTTTTTGAGGAGAGGTATTAGGATGATTGATCTCCATTCTTGAGGAATTCTGTTTTGTTCTATTATTTGTTGGATTAGTTCTAATAGTTGTTTGGTCAGATCTAGTCCTCCGTACTTCAGGAGTTCGTTCGGTATTCTGTCATCTCCTGGTGATTTTCTATTTTTTAATTTCCTTAATGTTTCCTTTACCACTTCCCTCTCAATATTTATTTCTTTGCTTGTCGTCACCTCTGGTATTGGTGGTTCATCATCGTCACTTTAGCAAACAGTGATCGAAAGTAGTCTACCCATGTTTCTTTCTGAATGTGTTTCGTTTTTATTAGTTCGTTCATCTTTTTTCTTTGTCCTCTGATCATTATCCATATTTCTTTTTGTGTCCTATAGAAATCGTGTTCCATCTGTTTTGAGAAACTCTATCAGTGTTCCTTTTTTATTTGTCTAACTAAAGTTTTTGATTTTTGACACATTATTTAATCCTAAGGCAGTACGAAGTTCGCCGTAGCAACGGCAGTGTATAGAAAATAGAAACTTAAATTAAATTAAAGAAAGCTCTGTTCACAAATTGTTGATAGCACGAAATATGCCTCAAAATCATCAAACGATCGTAAAATTTGTATCATCATAGGCGTTCCTGAGGTGTTTATTCATTAAAATTAATATTAATATTAATAATGTTTTAATACTGATATATTTAGTAAAAAACAATTAAAACTTTCACGGCTAATGTTGGTTATTATATTATATTAATAAAAATAATAATTTAACCATTAACAATTTTGTAAATAAGAATACCTTATCTCTCTGGATATTTCAATACTAATCTTCGCGCTTAATCACTTTACTAGAAAACCTGGTATTTATATCCGAAGGTAGGTACTATCGGTTGCAAGATAATTAGGATGGAATTCCCCAGATCAGAGAAGACGAATGGATGGACAGAAAACGATGGCGGTCGAAATGCGAGAAACGGCAGAGGCTGTAGGAACCTCGCTTATATATATATATATATATATATATATATATATATATATATATATATACATATATATTCCCCAGATTTTTAATAATATAATGGGTATAGATGCCGGATTTGGCCACGTACCTCGTCTGTTTAGTTTATATTCGAAACTTAACTTAAAAGGGTGAAGTTATTACGAACGAAAACAATTTGTTTGTTTAGTACATTTTTGATCGCATGTAATTTACGGCTCGTCTGTGTTTCCGCTTCTACGGCAGTAATTAGCGTCTCGAATATTTCTTTTGCGAATTATATGCAGTGCGTGAGTGATTTTTTATTCCATATACCTACGAACATATACGTACCTTTCGCTCGTGCTCGTTTTGTTGGATTGTTTGTGATGGCTTCATCATCAACATTATCAAGTTTTACACCGGTACTGTTGCGTACAGTCAGTAAGTCTGTCTATTCACCAAGAGAGAAGACTATTGTCCTGAATGTTCACGATGCTCTGGTTTCTCAGATTCCCACAAACACTGTTCGCAACATAGTCGAAAGTTGTGCCAACATGACTGGCGTAGGGGAGTCAACTATATATAGGTTCCTATCAGAAAGAAAAAACACGGTATAGCTAACCCAAACACAAACGAACACTTAAAGATAGGGAAAAAGCCTATTGAACTTGATGAATTTGCCAAAAATGGTATTCGAAGGAAAATTCATGGATTTTTTTTTCAAAAAAGAAATACCAAACCTAAATAAAAGAAGCTAGAGATGATCCGGATTTCCCTCATATCGGACGAACTAAATTGTGGCAAGTTTTAAAAGAATTAAATTTCCGGTGGGAGAAATCAGACCAAAATCACTTTTGATTGGCCGGGAGGAGATAATATGTTGGAGAAGAAATTATCTAAGATCCATACGAAAATTCCGGGCTGAAGGAAGGCCAATCTTCTACCAGGATGAATCGTGGGTAAACTCAGGTCATACTCTAAAAAAAGTTTGGCCAGATAAAAATATATTAAGCTCCAGGCAAGCCTTTGTGGAAGGTTGGTCTACTGGTATCTCCCCACCTTCTGGTAAAGGCAGTAGATTAATAATTTCTCACATTGGCAGTGAAAAAGGATTTGTTAAGCATGGTTTGTTGGAATTTCAGTCCAAAAGCACAAAAGACTATCACGAGGAGATGACAGCTGATGTTTTCGAAGAGTATTTTGTGCAGATGATTGAACACATACCACCAAATTCAATTATAGTATTAGATAATGCACCTTATTATTCACGACTAGTAGAAAGACTTCCAACGACTGCGTGGAAAAAACAGGATATTCTTGACCGGCTGCGGAATAAGTACCTGCCTTACGAAGATGGAATGGTAAAAGCAGAACTTTTAAAAATTGCCCGGTAACACAAATCCAAGTTCAAGAAATACGTAGTTGACAAAATGGCGGAAAGGAGAAACATCACAGTCCTTAGACTTCCACCCTACTACTGCGAAATAAATCCAATTGAACTCATTTGGGCACAAATGAAAAGTTATGTGACTAGAAAAAATACGTCATATAAAATACAAGCTGTACGTGAATTGTTATACGAGTCTTTACAACACATTACAGAACAAAACTGGAAAGATGCAGTAAGACATGTAATAGAAGAATAACAAAAAATGTGGGATCTTGATAACATAATTGATGCGACCGTAGAGACACAACCGCTAATTATTAACCCTCAATACGACTCGGATTCCGAAGTTGATCCTATTTATTTTGAATTTGAATAGTTTTCTAATCGTAATTATATAAGGTAAGTGATAGTAGTTGTAATCGTAAGGTATTAAAGGGGAAAGGCGCAAAACGTCGCCTGTCAAAATGTTCAATGTGTTTTAAATGTATCGATTTTTATTCAAATCCTGAGAAAACTAAAAAGCCTTTTTGGAAAAATTTAAAGGCAGAATAAAATATTTATTAGAATAAATAAAAAGTTTCTTTTGCATGCAATATTTTCAATTAAAAATTATACTATATTCTCTCTTTTATTTTCACCCCTGTTGCATAACATAATAAAATAAACATTGTAGAAGTTTTCGGGGACTTTCTGTAATATACATCAGTATACACATATATAATACCCTCAGTAATAATGTAATCTTTCATTCTGCTTTTAAATTTTTCAAAAATATTTATTAGTTTTCTCCGAATTCGAAAATAATGGATACATTTAAAACACATTTGGTGCCTTTCCCCTTAATTAAATAAATGTATCTTTTACAAATGGCAAAAAACTTTATTTTTGAATAAAATATTTTATTTTATTATAACTTTTATTAAAACAAAAATACAATTTAAAAAATATATTTATTTAGTTCAAATAAATTTTTTCAATCATATACTCTACGACACTGGTCGGATAAAATACGTTCCTAATCGGACTATAAGCTTGACAGCTGTATTGTATTCCGGCAGATACAAGGTGGGTTAGTCGAAAACATCTTAAATAGTCAGTTTCAGGTTGGTTTTTACTATTATATCGTATTACCTGTCCTCTCTGTGTTTCAGTTCTCTAATTAGGATTAAACTTGTAGTGAGCTATCAACAAATTGTGAACCGAGTATAAGTAAACCTAAATTTGTGTCAAAAGCTGGCATAATAACTGTTTGGCAATAAATTTATTGTTACGGTAAATCAATTATTCAAAATAAATCAATTTTAGCAAATGAAATAATTTTTTTATTCTTACTTACTTGCCGCATCCAGTCTTTTTATGCCTCTCCCCGTTGGTAGATAAAACTTCTGTATAAAATATAGCTTGACAAGCAAAAATATTGAAGGAAAGATAAATAATTTGTTGACGGAGATAATTAGATACAGTATTCCCAAAAATGTTAGAGTTTGCTAAAACATAAAATATCAATCAGATCAATTTAATCATATTTGGTTTGGAAATACAAAAGAGCAGTTTTAATACAGGACAAATATAGGACCACTTTATTCGGCGTGTTTAAGTGGTGAATATTCTCAGGGAATTAAGAAAAATTTTTCGTCGAGTTGAAAGAACATCTAAATGTGCAAGGTGTTATATTTGTCCACGAAATGATAACAAAAAATCATTTGTATGTAACTAGTATCATCATACAATTTGTAAAAATTATTGCATTAAAACAAATACTTATACTAGATGTAAATATCAGCAATGGTTTGTTCATTTGTTTAAATTGGCAAATTAACAGCTGATTTCTAATGAGGCAAGTGCAAGAAAAATCATTAGTACGGCATATCTACGTTTTGTGGACTTTACAAAGGCATTTGATCGGGTCAAATTAAAAGACGTTATCAACTTACTGTATGCAAAAGAGATACATCTAGGAATTATCAAAACGATCGAAAATATCTACCCAAACAACACAATAAAAGAAAAAGTAGAAGAAGAACTAACCGACCCTATTGAAGCTGATAATGGGATAAGACAGAAAGATTCCCTGAGTCCTCTATTGTTCAACTTGATTATATAATAAAAAAGTTAGAACTAAAAAAGGATACCAAATGGGAGAAAAACAACATTAAATAATTTGCTATTCAGACGACGCAATACTACTCTCTCAAAGTGAAGATGATTTACAAGGTATGCTGCATCAATTTACTATACCTCCAGAAAATTTAACATGTTAATTTCCCCAAAAAAGAAAAAATGCATGGTTACAACAGTAAATTTACTAAGAAGTAAATGGCAGCTGGAAGGGTCAAATAATAGAACAAGTGATGGAGTTTAAATATCTAGGCATCACATTATCTTGCTACGGAAAGTTCGAAACCGAAGTGGAAGATCAAGTAAATAGAGCAAACACAGCCACAGGCTACCTAAATGAAACAATATGGAGAAATAAAAATATCGGAAAAGAAACGAAAGGCTAAATTTAGAAAACAGTCATCAGGCCAATAATGACATACGCCGCAGAAATAAGACCTGACACAGAGAGGACAAAAAGGATGTTAGAAACAGCAAAGATGAAAATGCTTAGAAAAATTGATGGTAAGCCACTATGGGACAGAGCTAGAAGTACAGATATACGACATAGATGCAAGGTGGAGAACATCAAAAACTGGGTAGGAAATAGAAGAGTAGAATGAATATGCTGCAGTCTATATTGCAAGGTAAAGTCAAAGGTAAGCAAGGACCCGGTAGAAGGAGAATATCATGGCTGCGGAATTTAAGAACATGGTTTAAGAGAACCTCAACGGAGCTGTTTCGAGCCGCAGCGAGCAAGGTTATGATTGTCAATATGATTTCCAACATCCGAAACGGATAGGAAACAGAAGAAGAAGACGGAGAAGAAGAATGAAACGATCATGTAAGCCGAATGCCGAATGACAACTAATGAAGTAGTAAAGACGGCGAGGGACGGTTCCCCAAGAGGAAGAGGATAAGTAGGAAGACCACGAAAACGATGGATTGACAACTTATTAGAGGCACATTGAAAAACAGACAGAGTCATGTCTATATAAAATAAAAAAGTAGAAGAAGAAGAAGAGGAACAGCTGATTTGAATATTTCAACATTTCTAAATAAGAAATCTTTATTTTGACACTAAAATGTGTTTTTTGTTCGTTTCAAGATTTTAAACAATAACCTAGTTTTCTTATTAACCCTGTATATTTTGTTCCTTAATCATTTACCCATATATTGGTTTTTATAGTTTTATACTTAGCAATAGGTATATTTTTTCCTTTTTGTACATTAATTTTTTGTTTTATTTACACAAAAAATTCAAAGGTCTAGTTTGACCCTGCCATACCTTTAAAGAGCACTTTACTAAGTATAATCAGACTTCAAAGTTATTTAGATTATCAATTTTCGAACGGAAAAGAAATATGAATCTTTTTCTTTTTCTTCCTGCTTTATAAATAGGCTTAATGCCTGTTTTACTTCGGTTTTTAGCCTCAATTGACGTTATCTGACGATCTTTTCTTCGGTCGTCCCAATGATCTTCTTTCATTTGGCGATTTATCGTTTGCTATTCGTACTATTCTATTTTGTGTCATTATTTCGATGTGTTGATTCCATTCCACTTTTCTTCTTTTGGTCCACGCGTTTATTTCCCCTATACCACATCTCGCTCGTATTTCCTCACTTCTTAGTCTGTCTCTTAGAGTTTGGTTTATTATTTTTCGTAAGACTTTCATTTCTGTTGTTTCCAGCAGTCTGTGTGCTTTCACCGTATCTGCTCTTGTTTCCGCTGTGTACGTCATTATCGACCTTATTGTTGATTTATATATCCCAGTTTTCGTTTTCGTTGTGAGGTATTTGTTTCTCCAGATTGTATTGTTGAGGCATCCTACTGCTCTGTTTGCCATGTTCACTTGTTTTTGTACTTCTTCTTCCACTTTTCCGTAGTTTGACAGTTTTATTCCCAAGTATTTAGTTTCCATCACTTGTTCTATTATTTTGTTATTTACGACTAGTTTACATCGTCTCGGTTTCGCTGATATCACTATCGCTTTAGTTTTCTCTGTTGAGATCACCATATTGTATATGAGCTCTGTATCTTCAAATTCTTATTTCCTTTTCTCCCAATCTTTTTCTGTTCTTACGATTTACAGGAAGGGGCAAAAATGCTGCAGGATACGTAGCACTGCGCAGTGAAGAAAATGGACTGAGAGCTTGGTAGAATAGAGACTTCGTATAAATAAGAGAAGCCAGAGAAGACCTCTCTCTCTCTCTCTCTCTCTCTCTCTCTCTTTAATCCTGACCCCCCAGGGGGAGTGTAGTGGTCGACGTGATGTCGTGTATTGTCCGTCTCCAGAGATCTCTGTCTCTGGTCATTTCTTTTAATTCATGCATAGGTCTTTGGCATATTCCTGTAATTTGATCTATCCTTCTTGTTGGGGATCTTCCTCGTGATCTTCGGCCTTCTACCTTTCCTTGTATTATGAGTCTTTCCATGTTTTCTGCGTTTGCTCTCATAACATGCCCAAAATATTTTAATTGTTGGAGATGGACTTTACTAGAGAGTCGTTGGCTAACTTTTAGCTCTCTTAAAATTGAATTATTTGTTCTGCGGTCGGTCCAAGGAATTCGTAACATTCGTCTCCAACAGAACATTTCAGTGGCGTCTATCTTTCTTCTCTCCGATTGTCTCAGAGTCCAAGATTCACATCCGTAGGTCAGTATTGGGAATATTAAGCAGTTGATCAACCTCATCTTTATCGCTCTTGAAATTTGAAAATCCTTCCATATTTTGGTCATTTTTGCTGTGGCAACTTTTGCTAGATCACGTCTATGTTTAATCTCTAGTCTTTCAGAGAAGACCACCAACGCACAAATATAATTTCCTTAAGGCGTAAGGAGAAGGTTTATATCTAGCTATGGGCGCAAGAAACTGGATGATGATGATGATGATAATAATGAATAGAAAACAGTCAAGACAACTAAACAACCATTTTGTGACGAAACGGTTTAAAGTTGTAACAGTTAAAACTGTACTAATATTATAAAATGTTTACCTACTTACCCTAAATATTTCGTACGTATTCAAAGGAATAACTTCATCCATAGTCATCAGATCTTTAGAAAACCTGTTTACAACATTTCCCACAAAGTGCTTGTCGAAAAAGCTCATGAAAGCATTTACGACGGACTTCAACATTTTGCGATGCAGATTTCTAGAAGCTCTTATAGCAAAGAAGAAGTTCATGTATATTCTAGCAAAGGTGAGTATTACCATCACTACTATCAAACATGTATACATCAGAAGATAATTGTCTCTTTTATTTATGATATTGATATATTCTTCAGTGTCAGTTTGATTTGAGAAAGTTAAATTCGTAATACTAGGTTCCAGGTTTACCCTAAAAGAAAAATACATTTAAAATATAATGTTAAGAACATCTCTATTAGATGTAGTAATAGCCGAGTCAAGGGAAAAAAGCTGAGAAATTCTTATTCAGATATTCTAAGGTTCTAAAGGGCATATAAGGGATAGCTGTCTAAAAATCATTGAAGACGTATATTTTTATTTAATTTGTTTTTTATTTAAATATTCTTAACCCATTTGGTCCCACTGTACTTGTCCGAGTAGTAGTGCAGCAGCAAAACTAGCCTAGAAGTGACACATGGTATTCTATTTACATATATGTCCAGTTCTATTAGGATATATTCTACTAGATTTTTACAAGTTATGCATAAGTATAACACTTTGTGGTCCCCAAGACCAAGATTAAGGTTATACAAGTATATGCTCCCACAACTACAAATCAGGAAGAGGCAGTTGAAATTCTACGAAGATTTGATAACTGCATTAGAAGAAAATGGTCGGTCAGATAGCCAAGCGGGCTGGGTGGCCGGTTTCTCACTCGCTTCACTGCGATTGGTTCAGAGTTCAATCCCCAGCTCGGAGTACAGAAAACAAAAAGGCTAACGTAGCAGTTTAAAATTCTAAATGAATCTGCGGCTTAGGCTAGAATATGCTGGTGTCTGATCGGCCTATGGTGGAGCAGTACGGCAAGAGATAAGGGCTTGCGGCTCGGTGATACTCCTCCATAAATCCCTACCGGAAGGGCGTGTGTCGCTCTTCCGGTAGGATATTGGAAGAAAATGATACAAAATATACCATCATTATGGGAGATTTGAACGCAAAATCGGGTAAAAAGGAAGAAAATACTGAAACCAAAATAGGGATGCATGGTTATGGCACACGAAATGAAAGAGGAGAAAAATTATATAACTTCTTAGAACAACAAAATTTATATGCCATGAACACACACTTCAAGAAACCAGCAAACCGAAAATGGACGTCGATATCTCCCGATAAAAAGACAAAAAACGAGATCGATTACTCTTTGTGTGGGAACAAAGACATTTTTGAAGATATAACTGCTCTCAATCGATTCACAACTGGCAGAGAACATCGCCTTTTGAGAGCAAGGTTTCTTATTAAACAGACGAAAACCAGTAGAAACAGACCACATAATGTTTGTAATGAGATAGATCAAACTAAAATACGACAGAAGGGATATGAGTACAGAGAAGTCTTAAGAAAAGAGTTTGTGGAATATTATCAACAACATTATCGACAATTAATAGAGAAATGCAACGAAAGCTCTTGAAAGCAGGACTGACTGTTGCAAAGAAAACGTAAAATAAAGAAGACCGAATAAGTGAAGGAACAAAACGGTTGATGGAAAAGAGTCGCACATTTCTAAGCGAAGGAAAGCGAAACACCAATGGTTTCAAAGAATTACATAAACAAATAAAGAAGAGAGTAAAGGAAGATTTAAGGATCTATAATGAAAACAAGTTAGAAAAAATAATAGAAAAGAACCGAGGCCTAAAGTGCTTAAGATCAAACTTAGGAAAGTCTATAATAATCTCATTGAAGGATAAAGATGGAAAAGAAATAAGAGAAAACAACGAAATCCTAAAAGTTACTCAAATATTTAACCGTGATTTATATTCCTCAAACAAGAACACAGATATTACTGCAAAGGAAGACCTTAAGAGAAAGATAACAAATGTCAACTCAGAAATACTCCCTAACATAGAATCCTTCGAAATAAAACAAGCTATGGCACAACTAAAGAACAATAAGGCTCCGGGTCCAGATAGAATACTTGTAGAAATGTTGCAGGAGGGGAGTGAAATTATTCTCGAAGAATTGAAAAAGCTTTTCAACGAATGTCTTCACAGAGGAGAAGTCCCAGATGATTGGAATGAAAGTTTGACAATACTTTTCTTAAAAAAGGGAGACAGGGCAGATCTCAAGAACTATAGGCCAATCTCCCTGCTGTCCCAAATGTACAAATTGTTTATGAGAGTAATAACTAACAGGTTAACCTCGAAGCTCGATAGCTATCAACCGGTAGAGCAGGCAGGATTCCGAAAAGGTTACAGTACAGCGGATCATCTTCTTACAGTCAGAACTCTAATAGAGAAAGCTAATGAACTTCACTTAAACTTATACATTGGCTTCTTAATTATGAAAAGGAATTCGATTCCATAGAACTTTGGGTAATAAAGGGAGCTATGAACAACTGCAGAATAGACTCCTTATACAGAATGCTCATACATAATATTTACAAGAAAGCATCAAGTATTTATTACTTTCTCAAAAATCACATTGTTCACTAAATGCGAAAAAATATTCATAAATTTTTTCGCTCTATAATATTATTCTCATTAAAAAAATATTTCAGATTAGTTTAGAAAACGTTTTATAGAAGACCGTCTCAATAGTGAATATTAAAAAGTACTTACCATTTGCTGACAAGTTTTTCTGAGTACGTCAAAGCTGCTTGAGCCGCCATAAAAATAATTGCTAATATAATTAACATAATAATACCACCGGCGTATTTGTAATATCTCAAATAAACCTTTAAGCTTACAGTGCCAGATTTTTTTTCCTCATGATACAAATTGTTTTCCTTATTTTTATCTACCCCAATTAGCTGTGTCCGTTCATTCGCATCGTCATCAAGTATATCTTCGTCTGTAACATCAATATCGTCATCAAAGTAGTTCATTTCAACATCGTCAATAAAATAAGTAATTCTTTTGTCCAAAGTTTCTTTTTGCTTTTCCAAAGACAGCGTTCGACCATCTTCAACAACTAGCGTATTATTTCCGTACAACAATTTGATATGGTTGATGTTGTTGGACACCATAATAACTACTTTATCTTTTAAAAACTCCATAATACAATTCCTAAATATGTAATAATTTACTTTTGAGTCTAGACCAGCTAGACACTCGTCTATTAAATATATATCGCTAACACGATAAATGGCTCTTGCCAGATTAATTCTGGCTTGCTGGCCTTTACTAAAGTTAATACCTCTATCTCCAACTATAGTTTTATCACCATTTGGTAGTTTTTTTAAATCTATATTAAGAGCACACAATTTCAGTACTTCATTGTACCGTTTTTCGTCATACGGTTCCCCAAAGAGTATGTTCTGTCGTAAAGTGGCCGGGAAAAGCCAGGGTTCTTCTGACGCATAGGAAATAGTTCCATCAATTGTCATTTGCCCACTACTTACTTGATATTCACCCAGCAGAACTTTAATAATTGAACTTTTACCACTACCAGTGTTTCCAGTGATGAGATTAACTCCTTTTTCGGCCGAAAAGGAGATGTCGTTAAGAATATTTTTCTCGCCGATTTTCACACTCACATGCTTCATGTACACTCTTGGTGATATACTGTGTGATCGTCTGTCAACAACCTCCTCTAGTTTCAAAAAGTGTGACAATCTTTTAAGGGATGCTCTTAAATCTGAACATTGAGCTATACCAATTGGGATAGACACTGTTATAAACGATTTTAGACTTTGGTAGCACGTCTGGATAAAGTACACTGTCTCTGCATCTGTAAAATGGCCAGACCATATATACGTCATAATCATAAAGAAAAAGGAGAGACTTGTTGCCGTGGATCCAACAATTAGCACCAAAGATTTTAAATAGAAGACTGGAGATAAGTTTTGCAGTTCTAACCTAAAAATATAGTGATTACTTCATAAAGATAACAATTTAAAGTGTCTTACTTTCTTAATTCGTTTAGTTTTGTCGTGAAAAAGTCTTCCCAGGTGTACATTTTAATAGTTTTTATATTTCTTATAGTTTCTGTTGTCAGTTGCAGTCTTTCATCAGTCCTTTTAGCAGAATTGACTCTTTTTGAACTTACTACTTTTCCTACAAACACTAAAAATACAAAAAATATTAATTTATTAATATCAGTTATCTGTAAAAGAAAGTTAATTTTGTAGTATTGCTTAAGATCAGTTGCTTTAATTTTTCTATGTTCTCCATTAAACGATCACTCCTCTTTAGCGACCAGAATTTTATTCCCTGAGGTTTGTCGCTATCAGAACCTTTTACTAAATCTTTTTATTTTTTTACACTTTGTGCTATTATTTTTAGGCATATTCGTGCATTATTTTATAATAATAAAGAAAAATTAAATTATATCTTTTATGACATTATATAAAACAAATGATAGAAGTTTTGAAACTTTCCAAAGAGCTCTTTTTTAATTTATTTTCTACTTACACTGTAATGGAATAGTCAACATGTAAAATCCAATTCCTCCGAAAACAGACCATTGTATTCTATTAAATATAACGCCTGTGATGATTATTGTTTGAATGACACCGATCCACATATCGTTTACAAATATCAAAGCCATTTCGAATGCAAACACATCTTTCGTTATCAACGTTACGATTTTTCCAACAGTTACATGATTCCAAGCGTTTGGTCCCAATTTAACTGCTTTCCTACAAATAGGTGAATATTACTAATACTATTTATGTTTAACGTTGAATATTATTTAGACACTGTTATAATATCGAGCTAGAAAGATTAATATATAAAAATAAAATCTATAAAATCTTGGAAATTCAATACGAAAATATCGATAATAAAAATAAAAGGTATGACGTTTAAAGCTTAATATCCAATACATAAAAAAATAAAATAGTAATTGTCGGTTATCCACCAGAACAAGTCAGTCATTGTTATTATCTAGAATATTACATATATTTAAATTACATAACTCTGATACTTATTCGATATCGATGGATGGGGATAATATGGATGAGGTAAATAGCTTTAAGCGAGAATAACAGCGAAAACACAAGACTGCGGGAACTTAAAAAAAGATGAAATCAAAATTACTGTCAAAAAATCTAAAAGTCTGTAATTGTCTACAGCTGTAGACAAAAAACGTCCAAATTATATCTAGAACTAGTATTTGTATAGAAAAAGCATCTCTACGACACATATGTGTCAAAATGCATAAATGAAAAAAAATCACCTCTAAGCCAGACCAAATTTTATGCTAATCTTGAGAAACTAAACTTATCATTGCTTTCACCACGAAAGGACAAATATGACACTTGTTGTGGTGATGAGATAAAAACTCTGACGAAATAAGTGTAGAAAGCACATGCTGAGGAAAAAACAGAGCACGTTAAAAAAGATATTGATATCGAAATAGCAACAGATAAAAAATGTGTTGTATTGACCATTGATGTTGAAGCAGTAAACATATCAAAACCGCAATGTCACAATGGCAAATGCATTGTTACATTTGACTATCCAAATGGATTTAGAAATAGAGCAAACATTTTTAGTTGAAGGGCGTACACAGATGGAATATGATTCTGTCGACGTGTGTATTGAGCGGCCATTGAAAAACAAAGATATTTATGTGCCTACTGATTATATAACTGCTTGTAAGAATTCCAGAACAATATCATTACTATAAGACGTAAAATATGTCACACATACATGTTTTAAGGAATATATCGCCACCAAATGCAGTATTATGATTACATCCATCCAGGTAAAAACCGGGCTACCCGATCGTCACAGACATTGTGTGTCTGTTTTATGTATAATCAAACAAATTTGTAGTAAAAATTATTATATGAAAAATCCTCTATATCCATAACATCGAACTGACAAAAAAATCTTAACAAATGGTATTAGCCCAAAAAGAAAATTTTTAAAATTATAAATTATTTATTTTTCATGTTACGATTCAAAGTAATAAAATTAAATTGGAGAAAATTTAATTTGCTACAAATAATGTGCCCGAACAATTTTTATAGGATTACTATTTTCCCCCCCACTTTTTCCCAGATGACAGCTGTGTGACAGGGTTGGCGACCTCACAAACTTGTACTAAAGCTTATACTTACCCCCCAAGATATAAAAAAAATAAAATTGAGTTTTCTAAGAAATGCACGTTAAGGCAATAAACATGTAACATTTAAATGGACTATAAGGGACTTACTAGTCATGCGAAAAACTAAATAAAAGTTTAGTAAAAATACGATTTGAAAATAATACAATAAATACACTGTGCTTTAAACTGTTTACCTGTAAACTAGTGCGGCTACAGAAGTCCTCACTCTTATTCCCACTTCTGTGGTAAATTGTTGATAATTGTGGTTATAAATAACACTAAATACATTCAAACCTACAACTAGCGATGCATATATATACAAATCTTTTGTTGTCACATCTGTTTGGTTGGGAGCATAGTACGCTACCACTTTACTAAGTGCTCTTGGTTGAATAAACCTAAAAAATTAAAACAATAGCAATAATTGGATCAATATTTCATTTTTAATTTTTTTTTATTTGCAATCGAATGTAAATTCGAATTGAATGAATAAATTGAGATTGATATTTCAAGGAATAGTTTATAAAGAGAATTAAATGTGAAAATTATGTAAATTGAATGAACCATAAACATATTGAATTTACGCACAATAAAAAATTAAAGCGTTTATTTGAAAAAAAAAGTTTCTTAATTGATCTCACACATTCAGTTCCCAGTGTAAAAATCCCAGATGTCCGGAGTAAACTACACAGAAACTTCGGATAGTTTTAGAAAAAACAACAGAGGTCTATTCGGTTTGCTGTAAAAGCTACACTTGTCCCATCTTGGTCAACGGTCATCGATAAGCTTGAATGATCTTGTTTATAAATGTATTAGTTTTGTGCGTTCTTTGTTAATAACAGGTGATGTTTGTTGCTTTTGTATTAGAACAATAGTTAGTACCGTATATACCAAAGCAATTTTACAGTGGAGTTCCCCTGAGTACCGTAACACGTTGGAATAGATGGTAACGAAAAGGCAGATAGTCTAGCTAGTTCCGCACTAACCAATTTAGTCGCATCAATCGAAAATCTAACGGTGCATTTAGATTTAAAACCTTACTTAAAAGAAAAATTTTTTTTCACCTTTGCATTTCTTCCTTTGCACAAGGCAACAAACCATTGATTTCAACATGGGTTGAAGTTAAGAGAACATTGGGGAGAGCCACGGAGGTTAGAGATCTATATTCTAACACTCCGCCATCGAGCTCTGCATCAGTCCTGATGCCTTCCGTGGCCAGATGCCTCAACGGCCAGCCTTCTTCAACGCTTGAAGCCCCGAAAGCTACGGAGATCCTGAAGTAGCCACAGTCCCTGCCTGCCGTCCCTCACGAAATGTGGCGATACCAGGGAGCCCCGGGTTCTAACCTTATAGGGAGCTAGTTCTAACCTTATATCCCTCCTCAAGTTTCTTTGTTGTCGGGATATAAGGTTAGAACTACGCCTGAGAATGCTTCGATGTTACATGTTCTCTACTCTTCTTTATGTCAGTCCAGGCCTTCCTGGACCACTCTTGTCAGATTCTGATTCCCTATTAAAATGTCATCAATACGTAGAGGACGCTTAAGCACTGGCAGTTGAAGTCTCTACCGGAGGAATAGCAGACTAGATATTAGTATAAACAATTACTTTCTTATTTTTAAAGTTGTCCAAAATATCCAGAAACGTCGACAGTGCAAAAAACACAATCAGTGGAATGATCTTTTGTCTCTCTATATATCATAGGTTCTGCTAATGTGACATACTTTGTGACGGCATCATAATAAGTTGATTGGTCACCAATTTTAAAATGAATGTGTGAATTAAAAATAATTTTATAAATTAAAAGTAAGGTTGTTTATATTGTCAGACAGCAGCGTCTGTTTCCAGAGTGGGCGGCTGAAACACACTTACCAACCCGTCTGGCCAGCGTGGTGAATTCACGGCCAATCTACCCCCCCCCTCTTACGACAGATATACGTAAAAATTGGCTCTCAGTCCCCAGCAGCTCCGGAGTCACCTTGCAAGGCAATGGTAGGATCGAGAAAAGAGCACCTTAGAGGGTACTAAGAATCCCCGAGTTTTAGAAGATTGCCAGAAACAACGAAAACAAGCAACGAAACTGGATCTTGCAACTTATAATGTGAGATCACTGATGAGAGACAAACAGCTAGTCGAACTGGAAGAAGAAGTAAAAAAGATGAAATGAGATATATTAGGATTAAGTGAGATAAAAAGAAAAGGGGAAGCTTGTATGAAGTTGGAATCCGGGAACGTACTACACTATAAAGGAACTGAAGAAGAATCGTTAGCTGGTGTCGGTTTTCTTATTTCTAATCAGCATGTCCATATGATTAGACAATATATTGAAATTTCAGAAAGGATCGCGGCTCTAATAATGGAGAGAAATAAAAATATAAGTTTAAAGATCATACAAATTTACGCCCCTACATCGTCACATACGGATGAAGAAGTGGAGATATTCTACGAATCATGGACACAAATAGTAAACAAATACAAAAGCACCTACACAATCATTATAGGCGACTTCAATGCCAAATTAGGGAGAAAACTAGAAGAATCAGGAAATAAAATCGGCAACTTTGAGCCAAAATCAAAATTAACGCCACAACAGACAGACAAAAATTTAAACCATCTAAAAAACAGATAGATACAGAACTTCTTAAAGAACGCACAGAACAATACATAAACCAGCTAAAAAGAAGTGACATATTACAGCTAAAGGGTTTGCAACTAGACGAATTAAACAATAAAATAACAACAGAACTACTAGAAGCAGGCTTGAAGATTGCTAATAAACAAAAGCGAAAACAACAAAAAATTAGCGCTAAATCACAAGATATGCTAAAAAAACGACGACAACTCCTAAATGATAACAAAAGAAATACACTGGAGTTTACCGAACTGAACAAAACCATAAGAAAACAGATAAAGGAAGATTTAAAGAAATACCAAGAAGATCGCATTAAGAAAATCATAGAGAAGAACAAAAGTTTAAAAACAATGAAGACAAATATAGGAAAAAGAAAACTAATCATGCTTAAAGCTGAGAACAATGAAGAAAGTGATCTAAGAGAAATAGTAAAAATCACAGAAAGATATTACACAGACCTATACAGTTCAAAAAATGACCCACCACCATCATCTAAACAGAATCTCTCGAGGAAAATACAAAATGTTGGCTCAGAGGTATTACCAGAAATAACTGAAGATGAAATCGAAAAATCCATAAACGACATGAAAAGAAGCAAAGCGCCCGGTGAGGACAAAATACTGGCGGAACTGCTAAAAGAAGGAGGAGACACGATAAAAAAAATGCTAAAAATACTGTTCAACAAATGTCTGTTTGAAGGTAAAATACCTAAACAATGGAGAAATGCCAACACAATCTTAATACATAAGAAAGGAGACCGAACAGACCTAAACAACTACCGTCCTATTTCCATTTTGTCACAAATATATAAAACCTTCACAAGAATAATAAACAACCGACTAACCTATAAACTTGATAACTACCAACCAGTGGAACAGGCCGAATTCAGGAAAGGATACAGCACAATCGACCATCTACATGCGCTTAAAATCCTAATGGAGAAAACCAATGAATATAACCTTCCGCTGTACTTATCATTCGTAGATTATGAAAAGGCTTTCGACAGCATTGAACACTGGGCGGTTGAAAAAGCTCTGGTCAATAGTAGAAAAGATTCAAGATACCGACCATTAATACATGATATTTACCAAAACGCAACCATGACCGTAATTCTGGACAACAAATTAATAAGGGATAATATAAAAGTTAAACGAGGAGTCCGACAAGGCGATATAATTTCACCTAAACTGTTTACCTTGACCCTCGAAGACATAATAAAATCAACAGATTGGGAAAACAGAGGAATATGTATTACCGGAAAATACCTAAATCACCTTAGATATGCGGATAATATACTTCTGATCTCCTCGGAGCGACAAGAACTGGAATTAATGCTGAATGAATTTCATAAAAAATCACTGCAAAAAGGCATAAAAATTAACTTTAACAAAACAAAAGTAATGACAAACACGGAAGACCAAGAGGTGATAAAAATACAAACAGAAAAAGTAGAACAGGTAAATGAGTATATCTATCTAGGACAAGCAATCAGAGCTAACAGAGAAAATCAAACAGCCGAAATATCGAGGCGAGTAAGAATGGGATGGGCAGCGTTCGGCAAACTTTCTTACGTTCTAACATATCAAACAATCTCTCTATACTTACGAAGCAAGGTATATAACTCCTGTATAATACCGGTGCTCACCTACGGAGCACAGACATGGACATTTACACAGGCCAGTTTGGATAGGATAAGGAAGGCACAAAGTGCGATGGAGAGACAAATGTTGGGTATATCACTTAAAGATACAAAACGTAACCAGTGAATCAGAACCAGAACAAAGACAGTAGACGCGATAGAACAAGTAGCAAAACTGAAATGGAAATGGGCTGAACACAATAAACGTCTTCAAGACGGACGATGGAACAATGCCATCGGAAAGTGGCGTCCATACAATGCAAAGAGATCAAGAGGCAGACTACAGATGAGGTGGAAAGATGACATCAGGAAACAAGGAGGTCCCACATGGCAGAGAACAGCTCAAGATAGGGAAAGATGGAGAGAACTGGGGGAGACCTATACCCAAAAATGGAAAGATAGAGAATAGGTTTAAAAAAGAAAAAGGTTGTTTATTAAAATAAAGGAATTATATAGCTGCTAATGAAAATGAAGAAGAACAAAGAATGTTGTATAATTAAGTAATCAAGTAACACTAGATTTCTCTCCTCGTTTAAACAAAATAAAATGTAATTATGCAATTTTAAATATTCAATTGTGAAAGGATGGTGGATAATACAGCATCTTTAATATGATTGTCTGACTAACTACAATAGCACATTACTAAAATACATAAGATATAAGTAATTTTATCGAAAAAGTTTTTTCATCTTTGGCCTGTATTATTTATAATCATTAATTCAAAAAGATATGAAACATAGTTGATTAAAAAGTTAATCCTTGATAATATATAATTACTGAATATTAAAAATATTTTTAATAGCATAGACAGTTAATCTGATTGTAACGGTGATTAAAAATAAAAATACCTTTTAAAATTAACAGTATTTGATAATATTTACACTAATAAGAAAGAATATTGTAATAATCATAATTAGAATTTATATATTATGTTTTTCTATAACCTTAGAAATTAGACGTAGACATATCAGTAACACTCAGATGGGATTCAGAAAAGGGCTGGGTACAAGGGAGGCTCTGTTTGCAATGAACGTTCTCTCACAGAAATGCTTAGACATTAACCAAGAAATTTACGCCTGCTTTATTGACTTCGAAAAGGCCTTTGACAAAGTACAACATGAACCACTAAGACAAGTTCTAATAAAGAAAAATATAGACAGCCGAGATATTCGAATTATATGCAATCTATATTGGAATCAAACAGCAAATGTTAAGGTTGAGGGCCGACTAACAGAAGAAATTCAAATCCGTCGAGGAGTCCGGCAGGGATGTATCTTATCGCCACTTTTATTTAATCTGTATAGTGAAGCTATCTGTGAATAAGCACTCGAGGAAGAAGATCTTGGTCTGATAATAAATGGTGAGACGATCAACAATATAAGGTATGCTGACGATACAGTTCTCCTAACGGGAACGCTAATAGAACTACAACATCTCGTTCAAAGTCTCAATTTATACTGTAACAGTTACGGCTTAAAAATTATTTTGAAAAAAACTAAATTTATGGTAATCACGAAATCAAAGAACATCAGAGCTAATCTTGTAATAGACAATACAACGATTGAGCGTGTGCCCTGTTATAAATATCTAGGTGCTTGGATCACAGACGATACTGTGATCCAAGACTGATCACTAGATCAGTCTTTAATAGAATACGCAAACTCTTTTGCAATCGTGATATCAATATAAAGTTACGAATACGAATGCTGCGGTGTTATGTCTTTTCTACCCTGTTATATGGAGTTGAGGCTTGGACACTAAAACAGTTGACCACCATAAAAAACATCGAAGCTTTCGAGATGTGGTGCTATAGGCGCATTCTCAAAATATCATGGATGGGCCGCGTCACTAATACGCAAGTACTCCAAACTTTAGACAAAAGATGCGAAATTCTAAATGAGATAAAAACCAGAAAGATGGAATACTTGGGGCACATTGTGAGAGCTGAAAAGTACAGACTTTTAAGAAACATCATGCAGGGCAAAATTAAGGGCAAAAGAAGTGTGGGAAGAAGAAAAATATCGTGGCTTCGTAATCTACCTGAATGGTTCGGGTGTAGTTCGATTGAACTTTTCAGGCGCGCTGCTGACAAAGTCGCAGTGGCCATGATGATTTCCAATCTCCGCTAGGAGTGGCACGAGAAGAAGAAGATAACCTTAGAAACACATAATATTTAACTCATAGATATTGCCGATATGTGTTGTTAAAAACTGCAGTATACTTACACTAAAACTGTTTTCACAACCAATTGTATTAACCCCAGAATTAAATACTGCATACCAAAGCAGCTGATTAAGCTTTTTACTAAGGAGGCATCTTCTCCATTCTTTTTCCGCTGTCTCATCCAAGCATCTTCTAGATTATTTCCTAGCTGTTCTGATGCCAACCATTTGGGTATTTCATATATATCGCTATCATCAAGTCCTTTTTTGCGTGCTTTTTTAAACAGAGGAAAGTTATATCTGAAATGAATACGTATTTATTATACTCATCATATCAATTTTCCTTTTAGACCACAGACCAAAACATGCTATTTTTACACCATTGTCAATTATTTATATTTGAGACTGCAATTATAAACTAAACATATGCAGGTCAAACTTATTCCTTAATATTATTAATAATATAATAAAATACATTAAAACATAAAATAATAAAATACAGTAGAGCGTCGATTATACTGCTACGAACATGCATTCAGCGTGGCCCGTGTAACGGAAGGTAACATCGAGAAACTTCGCGATGTATCGAGCGCTGTAGAAATCCATTTGTCAAATAACGAATTAGAGGTGGGACTAGCCCAGAAGATTCGACAATAATACTTTTGGTATATATATGTAACGATGTTATGAGTTGTGATGTCCTCTCGTAGGAGTCACTATAGCTTTTGTCTTGTTTTCGTCCACTTTTATTCCCGTTTTGTGTGCCTGCTGTAGTCTGTGAAGTACTTCTTTTAAGTTTTCCATATGTTCCTCGAACGTTTTCCCCAGTACTATTATGTCGTCTAAATAGGCGAATGCATGTGGTTCCATTTCTCGGCCGATTATTGTATCTAGTAATCGTTGAAAAGTAGCGGAGGCGGCGTGTAATCCGAATGGAAGTACTTTGAACTGGAATAGTCCTTTTCCTGGTGCTATGAAAGCGGTCAAGGGTTTGCTTGCTTCGGAAAGTGGTACTTGCCAATATCCATTTTTTAGATCTAACGTGGTAAAATATTTTGCAGATTTTAACTTTTCTAGGATATGATTGATGTACAGTAATGGATAGGCATCTTTTTCTGAGATGTCGTTGATTTTCCTATTAGATTTTTCTATCACGTTCTCTTCTAGCATCTTATCTATCTCATCGTTTATGATCTTCTGCATTGCCGGATTTCGGGGCCTGTATCTTTGTTTGATCGGTGTATTATGTTTGAGTTTTATTGTATGTTCGGTTAGATGTGTTGTTCCTTTAATTTGTTTAAATTTCTCCAATTCTGTTAGTAACAATTCCTGTAATTGTTTTTTTTTTCGGTATTGTTTAGTGTAGTACTGATGTCGAGCTGCTCTCGTTTCGGACTGTTCGTGAATTCCGGTATGTATGACGGTATATCTTCGGTCTGGTCGTCGGCCGCGGTATCGGTCGGTAGTTCGGTATATCTTCGGTCTGGTTGTCGACCGCGGTATCGGTCGGTAGTCGGTATATTTTCGGTCTGGTCTTCGACCGCGGTATCGGTCGGTAGTCGGTAGGTCGTTTTGTTATATATTTTGCTTCTCTGTTGGAGCGGATATCTTGCGGTTGGTGTTTCGTTGACCCTGGAATTGGTCGGTATTTGGTTATTGTCTGCGTTGTACGATCTGGATCCGTGTTGTCCTGGTTGGGTATTGTTCTCTCCTTCTTACGCGATTTCTATTTAAGATGTTTGATAAATCAAGGCCCCATCTTGTTATTTCATGCATTCTCAGTACTACTTCTGAAGCTAGGTTTGGTAAAAAATGTAGCTTGGCTTTTCTCCGAACGTTGTCTATGGAACATTTTGCTGTAAAACAGATTTCTATGTTGCTGGTTTTTCCATCTGTCAGCGTGATCTTTAAAGCTTTTCTGTCGCTTCTTGTTCCACATTGTTCCAATATTTTTTACCTTTTTGTCCTATAAACGAATTTTGGGCTCCTGTGTCTATTAGTGTTTTTAACTTTTTACCGTTGCTGAACGTTATCGTTGTGTGGGGTCGTTGATCTGTATAGTGTGCGTAGCTGGAGGTTGTTAGGGAGGACTCTAAATGCTGACTGGGTTGCCTCCTTCTTGTCCAGTCCTATTGGAGTTTAGCCAAGAGTACAGCGATAGCTCTGCAGTTTCTTCTATTGTGGCCTCTGCGGCCGCATCTCCAACAACAAGTCTGTCTGTCGAAATTCTGTATTTTGTTATTACGACTATTTGCCTGTGTCCAGTCACACCTTGTATTGTTTCTGTTATATATTTCTTTTTGGACCATATCATATTCTTCCGCTAGTCTGATGATGTCCTGTGTTGACGATACGTCTTGTCTCTTTATATACAACTTGTATTTCGGGTTCATATTGGTGTATATCCTGTTTAGTTCTTCTTGGTGATTGAATTCACCATGTCTTCTGATCATTGTTTGAATATCAATGACGTAGTCTTTTACACTTTCGTTGTTTCGTTGAAGTCGGTTCTGGATTTGAGCTTCCAGAGATTGCGTGAGAACGGAGGAAACGAAGAAATTGTGGAAATCTTGTTCGAAGTCTTTTAATTCGTTCCAATATTTATTATTGTTTCTGTACCATAGTAATGCTTTCCCGTTTAATATTTCTGGTAGAGCTTGTAAAACGTGGGTGTCTTGTAGGCCGTAAGCTGTCTGGAGTTCTTTCAACCGTTCTATGAATTCTATTGGGTCTCTTGAACCGTCAAAGTGTAACCCCCATTTGCGTACTAGTTCCATCTTTCTTTTTCTGTCTTCCATCTGGTTTTCTTCTATTTTCTCTGGGTTTTGGCCTTTTTGAGTTGGTGCCTTGATGATCGCAACTAATCTCGCTCTTAGCTCGCTGAAATTCCCTTCCGTCGGCTGTTCTCTGTTTGTTAATTCGGTTATAAGTTCGTCTTTCTTTAATAGGTACACCCAACTAACCTTCGACGTTTGCGGAGCGTCTGTCATTTTTGAACTGTGAATCACCCTGTATTTGATTAAAATTTGAAATGTAGTACTGTCTCATAAAAATAAAATTCGGAATTCGGTCGGTATTATTGTTTAAAACGTATTTTTCTGCTCGGGCGCCATTTGTGATGTCCTCTCGTAGGAGTCACTATCCGGGTAGCTTTTAGACAGTCAGAGACAGAGTTCAAAACAAAAATAAAACTTTATTGTCCTCCTTAAATTAAATTGCCAAAAAATCTTATGTACATATTTACAATTTGGTTTAGTCTTCTCAGTAACTGGCCTATTTATTCAAATTAAGTTTGACCTTGTCATATGAAATTAGTTTTATCGGCAAGCGAATGTGTATTTGAAATTTTACGGGAACGTTGTGTCGATTTAATAACAGCGGACGATAGGTACAAAGAAAGGAAAGGAACTCAACACGTCCCTTAAGTGCTTCGGGTTAACAGGACACTCCTCGACAGTCTCAACACGACTGCTTCAGAGTATGGGTAGTGAAGAGATCAACACGCTCTTCAGGTAACGGCGGTATGGGACGGAACAACTTGTGAACTCAACACGTCCACAAGCCGGGGTAGGGAAGAAGAGAACCTTCAGTCAACACCTGTCGATTCCCCCTCTATGAGGAAATGTTGCGGTTTATATAGCGGAGCTTGGTAATTAGTTTTGCCCTTTCTACTATCGATATACTCCTACTTCATGGGTTGGTTCGCGCGCACGCTGGTTTAACGGTGATGGCTTGGACTCATCGTTACAGAGTTGTTTAGTTGTTAAGATATTACCGAACTGTAAACTTGTAATTAAATATATTTATATAAATTCGAACCGTTCGTTTTATTGAAACACGCTACAATACAAACGTCGATCAACCGAACAACCGCTTATGCGAACTCCCGACAAAAAACGAACATAAGTAACTATTCTGTTACAGCTTGATTCTTCTGACGAATACACAAGTCCTAAAACGATGAGCTTGCTTCAAACAGAGTTTACTGCTAATCTTAATCAGGGATTTAGATAATGTTGTATTTAAGTGGTTTACTCAAAAAATATTCTAGAGAGAATCTATTTCTGATCTGATTCTGTGTGAAAAAGCAATTCAATTCAACGAAAAATCCGGAAAACTGTCAAAGTTTCAGCCAAGCGCAAGCTAGTTAAAACGATTTAAATAAAGAAATTGCATTCAGAGCTTCAAATATAAGGATAAAAACCGTGATGCTTCATCAACAGCAAATTAATTCTAGATCAAATTAAGAACGAACACATTGCAGACGAAACTCGGATTTGCCACGAGAAAAAGAGGAATAGATGAATAAAAGGGAAACAGACAATGCAAACGAAGAGAAAAATAAGTTAAGATATATTCAGAATAATAAAATACAAGAAAAACAAAAATTTAGAGAATAACAGAAACATTGGAACATGGAATGTGACGACGCTACTGGAAACAGGAAAAATGGAAGAACTGGCGACACAGTTAAAACAATACAAGTTAGATATTGTAGAAATTGAGGACACCGGACAGGGGAGGGGGTTAAACAAAAAAAAATAAAAAAAAAATTATATAGTATGCTATCCAGTATAATCATCATCATCATCATTGGCTTTTACAACTCTTCGTGAGTTTTTGCCGCGTTTACTATTGCCTTCCATTGATTCCGATCCTGTGCTATTATTTCCCATGGCCTTACTTCCATCTTCTCCGTCTTCCCTGACAGCGTCTTTCCACCTTTTTCTAGGCCTTCCTGTCGATCTTTTACCATCTGGTCTTTCCCAAAATACATTGCTAATCAGTCTGTCGTCATCACTCCGTACCACGTGGCCTGCCCATCTTAATCTATTGGCTTTTATGTATCTTACGATGTTGCCTTTCCCGAAGAGAGTCTCTATTTCATTGTTGTATCTGCTCCTCCATTCATTTGTCACGCTGTCCCTGCAAGGACCATATATAATTCGCAGGATTTTGCGTTCCCATACTAATAGCTTATTGATTTCTTTCTTTCTCAATGTCCATGTTTCACTTCCATATGTCACTGCTGGTCGTAGTATGGTTTTGTACATTTGGATTTTGGCACGCCTTGAGAGAAGCTTTGACCTCATTAGATGTTGAATGGCAAAGAATGATTTATTCCCCGCCAGTATTCGTATTTCAACCTCCCGTTCTCCTGTGTTTTCACTGGTAATTGTTGCTCCTAGGTATTTGAATTCTTTGACCACCTCAAAATTATGATCGTTTATGGTAATGTTTTGTCTTATTCGCTGTCGTTCCTTTTTTGATACGACCATGTATTTAGTTTTTTCTTCGTT